ATTAACAGGAAAATAAGTTGTTAGCTACATGATACTATTTTATGCTTGTTGTTCTTCTTTGCTATTCAGAACTTGTTATATTTCATCTATCTTGAACACAAGCTAGTAAAGTGAGAAAGCAAACCCAAGCTGCAGAAGAGGTATTTTAACAAAACTTAGGCTCAGAAATCATGAGTTGAAAACTTGGCAGGTCTCTAAAAGAGCTATAAAAATTCCTGTATTTTATTCGAGATACACTCATTTTCATGGATCACAGAGGTGCTTAAAAATGGAAATACTGTTTCTTTTTTCTCTTGCCGAGTACAATTCGTTGTAATTTTTTGTTTTCATGGCAAAGGATGGTACCAGTTTCAATAAAACTTGCATTGGGAAGGAGTGTTCAGGGCAGGTCATTTGCAATGCTGGGGTAGGTTTCTGTCCTGTTCCTCCAGGTGCCCCCCCAGCTCCTCTATTCCTAAAATACATGACAAAGGGCAATAACTGGGAGGAGGAGCTGGCAGCAGTGGCAAGAGGCTTATTCTGTGGCTTGCAAGTTGGGCGTTTGCGTGGCATGTACAAATCCTGGATTAAATTTCTGAGCTTGGTTTGCAGAAGCAAGGTGCTCGTTTCCTCGCCAGTGGGGGCCTTTGCTGTCATTTCCAAGACAAACTTAGGAATTAATTGACTGTAGGCTTTGCTGTTGTTCTGCAACTCCTCACAGCTTCCATTTTTAGATGTTTTGCAAAATTAAAATGAGATACAGACTAAAAAAAACCCCAATCTGTTGTTAGATCTGAGTTTCAGTTCTGGTTTTATCATCACATGGCTGAACACAAGAACAATTTTAGAGATTATCAAGATCATAGACCACGTGTAAGATTAATTCACAATCTCAGTGAGTCTGTGGACAGAATTAGTTTTTCCAGCATGTGTAGCTAGAAGAGCCCATAGCTAAATCTTAATTTTACTGGTCAATATTCTTCATTATTTATTATTTTTTCTCTCACTCAAGGTATTTCTTGTAAATATGGAAATAGTGAGTTCATAATTTTTACATTAACAAAAAAGGAAAAGTTTGTCTTAGAACCTACTGAAGAACAAAAAATATTTGAAAATTTGGCAGTGGTTTTGAAGAGAATTGTTTTTTAATTTACTAAAAAGTGAATATTAGTGATAATATTTTGTTTTAATACTGAATACAAAAAGTAGAATTCACATACAGGTATTGAAAGTCAGGATAAATATATGTAGTACAGTAACTTTAAGCATCTCTCATAGCAAAACAATATACCTGCTGAAAAAGGGGATTGAAGTGGGTTTAGATTGCTTTGAATGCATCAATGATGAACATTTCTTACAGCACTCTTTGATAACTTCAGTATAGGAAATTATGAAGGTGACTAATGTCCTGTTGACAACTAGATTTGTAACTGAAAAGCAAGATGTTTTCAGACAAGGGTGGAAAGACTCTGAACTGCACTGACTTTGCTGCAATGGAAAGGAAGGAAGAGGGTAATAACTAATACTAAAAGTCTGTGGAAGGTTATAAAGCAAGCTGTCCCAGTAGGAACTTTGTGGGGTAACACTGAACAGAACTTGGTGATTCAGTGATTACTTGTCACACACACATCATCAATATCTTTGAGAAAACTTTAAGTATTCATACATCTCTGGGATTTTTTTAATAATTAGACTCCTGTATTAAAGTAGAAACTTTCTTAAGATTTATGTTCTACTGCGGCAGCACTTTCATCCTAATTACTGTGGAAAAGATTGTGATGTTGCGAAACTTATTTTTTCTACTGATACCTCATTTTTATTCAAGCAAAAACAGTCTTTTCCGTATGTGTGCTTTAGTAACATAAGTATAATTGTCTGTACTTAATGAAATGTGGGGAAGTATTTATCCTCAAGGATACTAACTGAAGTTTTAGCCAAGCAGCAGGAAGGTGAAAATCAGTCTTCTGGTAAGCAGTCACTCAGTGAATTAATACAAAAAAATACATGTTTTCAGTCCAGTCCCAAGTGGGCAGGTGTCTGCATACTGAATGACTTGTGGGTTTGCACTGTTTGCAGAGATCATTAATCACATGGGCAATGAGACTGGACCAGTTTTCTCAAAAGGGCCAAGGAAATGTTTGCTAGAGAAGCACAGGAGAGTGTCTGTGACTGCCACTGGAAAAGCAGGCTTGTATTTTCTAGCACTTTCACCCCAATTTAGGAAAGAATGCAAAACTCTGTGATGTGAAATACTGAGTCCCTAAGGCCTCCTTCTGCAGCCATCACTGTCTGAAGAGTCCTGTGGATTTCAGCCTCTTTGTAACTAAGGTTTGCAAGCACTGCGGCTTAATGACCTCTGAAATGGAATTTTTTTCCTTGTGAAATGCCGTGCTGTATACTTACGATGTATAAGAATTACTGGGCTGTTGCTGAAACAGGAAATTTGATACACTTGCTAACACTTACTGCTGTCTTAATTCCTCACTCTACAATATATAAAAGCACAAGCATAGTGCTAGGTGTGTTCCATTATTGTCCATGGAAATACACATGGCATCTTGTTAGGCACGTTAATATAGAATATACATTTATATATTAAAATAAATAATGCTTTAGACTTAAGCTAATCATATTGCTTGGGCAAAAGAAGGAAGCTGCTGTATATATGGAAAAAATAATCCTTTTCTTTACTTAATGGTAGTAGTTGTCATTACCAAAAAAAAAAAAAAGTAGAAAGTATGATTTTTGGAACAGAAAAACATCCTGAGGATTTTTAACCTTAAATGCTAAAAGAAAAAAAATAAGAATCCCAAAACCTAGGTTTAATTTATAGAAATTGTTAAAATAAAGTAGTTTTTACTTTTCTCTCAAAATAAGCAGGGGAAGGTTGTTTTCTGTTGGATGAATCCACCAAACACTTGAAGTTCAGGAACATGTATGACACATCATCTGTTTTTCTTGATGCTGCAGATCTCTCTAGCAGATTTTTTTTCTGCTTCCAGTTTCTGTGTGATCATATCTTTGCTATGGTCTTTTTTTAAAGTTTGATGTGTTGGTCAGTCCTGTTTTGATGTATTTATTAGTGATTTTGTAATAAGATGCAAGCGTGCACTTAGGGACACTGCAGATGATGTGAAGGTTGGTGGCATTGTTGAGCCTGGAAAGACTTCCAGCTCCTCCAGGGGTGCGGGAGAATGGGATGAGATTATTACGGAGTAGTAGAAATACAGAGGAATAGAGCAAAGTTATGGGAGATGAGTTGGAAACTCCTCAGTTAGCTATCTTGGATGAAAATAAAGAGAAATGGGTTCTTTGTCCACTGGGAAGCTGATGGTAAACTGTGATTTGATACAGCTGTGAATGATAACTTTAGGTGCAGTAGGCATGTTATTTGCAGTAGAGACAGGGAAGCATCAATGTTATTTTAATAGGCCTTGTTAAGATCTCATTTTGAGCATATGGTCATCTGTGTTCACATAGAGAAATGAAAACGAGAGCGATGCGAATGAGAGTGAGTGGGGTGATGAAGGGAGGAGAAATCCTATCTTGTCAATGGCAGGAAAGGACTTGATCACATTTATCCTAGCAAAATACGGGAAGGGATTTGGTAACTATTCATAAAAATTATTTCACAAGGAAATATGAGGGAGGGACAAAAATTATAAAAGTTAAAGCACAATGTAAGTATAAATAATTTTCTACAAGTGGATTCCAAATACATTGGGGCTGGAAATTTGACTAGCTTTAACCGTTTGGGGGATGGAGCTGTGGTATAAGCTTACAGCCACCTCTTTGAATGAAGACAGGGCACCTGAACTAGTTTTTCATTCTCTGCTTTAGGTTTATTAACTGTCAAGGTAAAGGTGGCCCTAGCCTGTGATTGAAGTTTTTCAGGTGCTCGTTGCTATCGGTCAGAGGTTGCAGGGCGGCTGAAACACCGATCGTTGTGATGCTTCATGTAGCGCATTTACACTGAATGGATCCCGTGCCCTGAAGTGTCTGGGGTGGCCTGCGGGAGCCCCTCTTTGTCACTGAGTGTTTATTCTGCATTTCCCTCCCCATCCCCAAAGCATGGGTTTCTCCATGTAGGCAGACGTAGGATGTTAGGTAGGTTGTGATGAAAAACCTCAGTTGCCTAGCTGATGTGTCTTTATCTTTTCACACTCACAGCTCATTGAAATAATCTGCCTCAGTCCAACCAGCGTTGTTGAGGAGAAGTGAGAGGATTTGGATCATCTGAGTATTTTCACTAAGCAATTCTTCCATTCTTTCATGCTTAGATGAGCTGTAAGGTGCAGGATATTGAGAAACATTTACTGTGTAGCAGAAATGGTTATTAGGAGTAATCCTTTAAAATGTTGTGAACTGGCAGCTTATAAAGAACTAGATTTATCTAGTCCAGTTCTGTGGTCATGTGCCTCTTCTGGTTTGAAGATGGCTTCTATAAAGTGCCATTATTTCCTGTGGTTTACCTGAAAAAATGAGGTGGAAGGAAGTGAGGTGTTTTTCTAAATGCTGGTAGTTCTCTGCAAATGTGCTTCTTCCATTGAATTATGAGTCTATATATTAATTTGAATGTTACAGAGATCTGTGTGAAAGATAATACTATCTGCTCTCATAGTAACTGCATGTATAGAAATTGTTATTAAGTTGTCGACCCTTATATTAGCAAGTTATTTTGCATTTTCAGCCACTTTCTATAATGGAATATGTGTCTTCCAGAGTATACTATTGAATACATTTGAAAGATGCAAAATACATGCATTAAACTGTTGATATTCCAATAAAATAACAGCGTGTCTGAGGGTTGATAAAAGTAGTATATACTTCAGTTACTGTCTGACCGTTTATTTAATTATACTGTTTCAGATAGTTTCTCGGTAGCTTGTATTTAAAAACTAAAAATCACCATAACGTAGTAGTGTCGTGCATGAAACTGGAAATAAAAAAAACCAAATGAAAGGTGTTCATGCATGTTCACTTTTCCCTTTCCCTGCCTCTTTGTATCAGGAGCTGCTGAAATGGGTTGTGGATTGAACAAACTAGAGAAGCATGATGAAAAACGACCTGGTAATATCTACTCAACTTTGAAGAGACCCCAGGTAGAAACCAAGATAGATGTTTGCTATGAATATCGATTCCTGGACTTCACGACACTAAGTGAAAGTAAGTACACAATATCTTTAAGTTAATTTGAATCAGAAAAAAAAACCAAGCCTGTTAATTGCTATATAATGTTTTTTGAATAGTAGTTAATTTTTAAAACGTCTTTTGTTACTTTAAGTAAATGCCTCTTCATACATACATATATATATATATATAAAATGCGTCCTCAGTCATAATGCTTACATGCAGACATCTTACTGAGAATTATCTGATAAATTTTAACCTTAGGGCTAGTTGTAGGTTTTCAGATTTTAGGTTCTTTTACTCCCTCACATTTTTTTTTTTAAACTCTTAATATGGATGTTTGTTTCCTTAATTTGCCTTTTATATAAGTTTCACACGGTAAAGCAATTCAGGTCTCCCAGGTTATGTACTTTACTGTACTTTACTGCTCTTTTTTCTTCCTTGCCTTCTGCTCCCTGTGCTCCCTCAGTAGTATTTTGAGCGGCTGAAGTTAGCATTTTCAGTTTTGCTAACTTCCCCTAAATAACTCTCATGCGGTTACAGATACTTACAGGTGCACCCCTGTGGGTGGAAACAGGATAGTGGGAGACACTGAAGATCTAAAACATCAAAGGGGTGAAGGTCCAGTCTCATGCAGTTTTTACCTTGGGTTTTTTTTCTGTCTGAAATAGTCTTACTTTAATTCACATGACAATCAACAGATACTCCATTTCTTTCCTTCCTGATTGACATCAAGCTTCTCTGCCAGTATTGCTCACACCATTGCCTGTGCCCTCTTTCACTTCAAAATTAGCCTGTTCTACAAGCAATTACTCCTCACACCATTTGGAAATCTGAAGCTTGAGCAGAAGGCTGGGACCTGCTTCTTGCTATATATAAAACAGCACATTACCAAAATCTGTTATAGCTAGCTGGCAGGATGCCAGGTAGAACCTCTTTGCTTTTGCCATGCAGCGTGCTGCTGCTTCTCTTGTTTTGTGAGTCAGGTCAAAGGAAAAGCCAAAGCGGTATGTCTCTCACTGTGTGAGACCAAGAGCTGCTGGTGTGTTGCTTGGTGTGACACCTCTAGTGCAGTTCAGTATGTTCAGCCCAGAGTAATGTGAATTTGTTGTTTTTTAAAACTTGCTGCAAGTGAACTTGAATTTGGGAAAAGGTGGAGGTTTGGAATAGGTGGTTGGACAGGAGCGTGCTTTTGTAGGCAATGCGGGAGCTGAGAAATTTTGTCTTTGCAGACTTTTCTTGGTGCCTGCCTCCCACACTCATGGGTTCTTATGTTTTTTGTTACACTAATTGGGATGCACTGCAGTTATTGAGAACACCAAACAAATCTGAGAGGAATTTTTTTCATGTTTATGTATTGCTGCTGTTTCTATGTCTATGTATTTTTATTTCAAAGTGAACTGTTTATGTCCTTTGATAGTTTGACAACTTTTACTGAGATGCACTGCAAGTTGTGTCATTAGTGAAAATGAATTAATATTGAAGACACGCTTCTATGGGCTTTTCTGGGATGCTCATCACTGTTCTGTCTGATTGGCTCACAGGCTTTAGCCTGTGCATTCTCCTGATACCTCATGAAGTCTCATCTTTGTCACTGTAGGGAGGAAGAGTTGTTACATGCGATAGCAATGTGACTTGCCTCAGGCAGAGAGGATGTCTGGCACAGAGCAAAAAATTAAACCCAGACTTTCCAAGTCTGCTTTACAACAAACCTATCCATTTAATCAGACTTATACGTTTTTCTTACTCATCATAGATTGTTTTATTATGATTTTAGGAGGCATGGTTTTAAAGAGACTGTAAGTAGAAGTACTTCTATCAAATTCTTTGGCTCGCCAAAGAGTGTAAGCTCTCCAATTCCCACTGAGTTCTGCTTTGGCATGTTGTATCCCCATCACTCCAGTTTCTGAAGATGCCAGTGGATAGGCAGATGAGGAAGGGATGGAGCTGTTGTTCCTGCTCTTTTTCCTCAGTATCACCCACGACTGCGTGCTTTCAGGATTGGCAAGACAACAGCTTGTGGTTATGCAGCTCCCTCCCTATTCACATCATTGGCTGTATGAAGGCTCACGTCGTGCTACGTAGTGCTACAACATCCCAGGTTTTTCTCAATGGTGACAGCATCACTTGTTCATTTATATTTTTTCTCAGAAATAACCTCTGCAGATAACCGGAGTTAATGATGAGTGTTTCACCTATGTCTGTGTGGATTCAGACACTTGTAAAAATGAAATGCTCACAGCTGTGTAAAAAGAACATTTGGATTGTGAAGTATGTCTTCTGTGAATCTACTTTAGCCCTTTCAGTGTGTACATATATCCTGACATCATTTTTTCCACAGACTTTCTGCTTCATTAGATTTTTAGAATAAGCCATGCTAAATTATGAGTGGCTGCAGAGTATTTTATTGTATCCTTATTCTAGGCCTTATTTACAACACTAGTGAGCCTGGCTCTGAAGACAGGTACTTATTTTTCTCTGGGGCTCTTCTATAATGTTTACTGCTCTGATAACTGTATCTCTCACAAACATTTAATCTTAATGGTGAGAAGGATGTGATTATCTCCATGTTGCAAGTGGGAGCTAATACACAGATTACTGCCAGTTGTTTTCCAAGTCCTTAGCATTTCTTCATGTATTCCAAAAGCAGCTATCGTTGACATTAGACACAAAGGTGGATGCTGGTCATATTTGCAGTTTGGAATTGCGTGTATTCTCAAATCTGATACCCAGCTACTTAGAGATCGCTTCCAGAATGTGGTATATGTTTTAACTGCAGTTTTACAGGCAGCTAGGTGGACATAAGTTTTCTGCAACTATATGTGGGGAGATACTGCTCCCCTCTCTCGCCTCCTGTCAGCTCTGTGAATTGATTTAACTCATGGATCTGGCAGAAGGCTATGCAGTCTTTTTGTTTGGTTATCCTCTGCCAGATCAGTGTCTTGTAGAGGGGTCTGGAGAATACTGGAGCTGGTAGAAGTGGTGGGAGTATGCAGTCAGGAAAAGAAGTAGGACCTTCTTTAAATCAGCTCACACTGTTGTGAACTCATTCCCTTAGCATCACTCTGTTGAAAACAGGGATAAAATACTGTCCTGCTGGTCATTTCTCTGCTATGTTAGCCAGAAACTTAACTTTGCTTGCTCACTGTCTTTGGTTACTGTTTAACTTCTGACATACACAGCTGAAGGAATGTAAGGAAATGTGCTCCTTTATTGTACGTTTTTATTCTCTTCTGAACTTGAGCCTTGCTCTGCACTGATGCAGACGTCCAGTGGAGAATAAGGTTTGATGACTTATTTAAGTCCTGTGTAAATAATGCATAGATGCAAGAGACAGAATTAAGGTTGCAAATACGAACTACATTTTTACATTTCCCAGTGTTACAGGGTTGATGTACTTGGAAGTAAAATGTCTAGAGAAGGATTTCCCAAGCTTTCAAGGAAAGCAGGCTACGAAGAACCCATCAGTTTCCATTGTGTGCCACAACACTGATAATCTGCATGGTGCTTCAGAATTCAAATGGTTGGATTTGCCACTGTCCTTTACTTCTTGAACAAGTGGGATAATTGGTAGTAGCAAAAGGTTATCATCTAGTGTAGACTGGCACTTGAGGAATAAGAAACACTTTGCTAAGACATTTCAAAACCTTCAGGTGGGTATGCTCATTTTGAGTTGTTGGCTTTATAATGTCTGCTTATGAGCCTTACCTTTCTTGTTTCTGCCAAGGTGGCCTCTTCCAAGAAATCACAGTCTGTCTTCAGGGTTGCCCTTGACAGTGTCATCCTGTGCCCTATTCTGTAGTCATCTGTACTGTCCAAAGCTTGCGGGCTGCTGCTCTCCCTCAGGTGAAATCACACCAGATTTCACCCTAATTAAATTGCAATGATTTTATCATATTTTTACTTGTCAAGAAGACATTAATAGGTTTGTAAACTGGGTGGTTTATTGCTGGGTCAGCAAAATGCCAGAGGAGGTGCAGAGGAAGAGCAGAATCTTTCTCCTGTTGGCAGTAGTGAGCTGTAACATGTAGCTTCATTTTTGGTGTGCTGTGCTCATCCAGGTCCTGACCTCTACCCACCTCATGGTCATCTTATAAGGCTTATTCTTTCACTGAGTCAGGCTCATCTGTCACTGTACAGTCCAGTCCTGTCGTCTCCATCTTCAGCTAGTTTCTTCTGACAGGTTTCGACTCCCAGTCATTTCTTCTCCTGCTCCCCCAAGCCATTCTGTCTTGGAGACCCTCCACTCCCAACGGCGGCACGCAATGGGTGCAGGTAATGCCTTGGAGAGGGTCTACACTTTAACAACTTACTCTTGATAGCTTTATCTGCTGTTTGAATGCTCTTCTAGCTCTCTGCTGGCTAATCCTCCCTTCAGAGTTGCTCGGTTGGTTGTCTTCTCACTGACTTTGAGACAACACTAATGCTAAGTAGCAATGATTGAATTTTATAACAATGAAAAATTTGAGAAAAGTGAAAGACAGTAGCATTAATCTAGTGGTGTGGCAAACCTTTTGCTACAAAGCCTCAAGAGAAAAATTAGGGTCTATGTGCATATACAGGCCTTTACTGGAAAAAAAAAAAACCCAAAACATTGTATCACGTGCCCAAAGGTAAAAAAATGTTGTTTATTTTACATGTCTATCTGTGTAAATAAAAGGAGCTGAATAATGATCATCTTGTACCGCTCTTATCTCCCGGTTTTATTGGAAATAAGAGGTCAATGGTGAGTGAACCTGAGGAGGACATGAGCTGACAAATGGAATAGCCTTAATTTAAAGTAATCATGCTTTCAACAGTGACGCTGTGAGGCAAGCTGTTTTGTCTTATTTGAAAGAGAAATATTGCAATAATCTGCATTCCTTCCCTGCTCTTATCTGATCTACTTATTTTGGAAAACTTCACTTGCAATGACAGGTCGTACAGAAACTGAGCTCTCCCTCTTCTTCATCCTTTATTTCTTTTTTTCCATCTCTTTTCAGTTATGATGACCTTCTGAGAGAAACGGGGAATCTGATAGTTACTTTTCTCTTCCC